CTTTTTGAACAATTTCCAACATTTTTTTTATATTTCGAATTTTTTTTAATTCTCTGCACCCGGTCTCTACCGACCTTGGTCTTGGCCTTGCCGAGACCTGGGCTCGAAGAGACCTGTCCTAGCCGAGAACCAGCCTCATAAATCTCTTAAACAACGAAAATAAATGAAAAAAGTTCGAATTATTAAAAAAAATTAGTGAAAAATGTTCTGATCATTAAAACATGCAAAGAAAATGACAAAGACAACTTTGTTTCTTCACCTTGACAAACAGAAAAGCAATTTCCACAGAATGATATCTTCCAGTTCTTCACATGTTAAAGTTTTCTCTACAGAACAAGAACTGGCCTACAAATGTAGATGTCACTCATGCCTTTGAATTCACAAAAGAAAATTAAATAAACATACCTTACAGTTGGAGTAAAAACATAACTGTTAAAAGCATTAGGCTACGGGGTTTCAAAAAAAGGGCACCCATACAGTCTACAAAAGCAAGAAATGACAAGTTTTGACTGTGCTACTGCCTTTTGAGCTATGCGTAACTTGTACTGCTCCCTCCGCAACCCAGTTAATCTCATCCTCGCCTTCATTTACAGTGTACCTGTGATTTGTATCTCTTTCACTGCTTTACATAAAAGTGTCAAACATACTGACTTTAAAAAGTTACTGTAAAATATAATGTTTTCTAGGTAAAAATTATGTCGCCTTGCCTTGCCTTGCCTTGCCTTGCCTTGCCTTGCCTTGCCTACATGGTACTAATATTATAAAAAAAATGTTAGAACATGTAATACAGCAATTTGTCATTTCTGAATGCATACTGTTAAAAATAACGAAATATAGCCATTAGTCTTAAAAAAAAGCCAGTGTCAGGAGGGGTTTATTGCCCCAAGGGAAGAAAAATTCTGATCACCCTGCTCTAGAGAATCAGACTAACTGTATGTCTCATAGAACTTTCAATACAATCTCTCAAACTTCCACAGGATTTACTCTTACAAATTCATATACAGTGCATATGATTTTCAAACAAAAGTCACACATACATACAGAGATATTTTATTCAAACTTTCCTTAATGTCTGAGCTTCAAAGGAGGGATCAAATTCCATGCGAATAAGATATTTTCAAGTAAGCGCAATGAAAGTAGACGTAAAGAAGTAAAATGCCATTCTTGTATTTGAAGTACAGAATAAGACAGTTAAGAACAACTGTAATCTGGGAAACCTTTTCGTACACTTCATCTTTATGGAAAACTTAATAAAGATGTTGGCACCTTCTCCAGCAGTATCTCAGTATTATTACTCGTATTGACATCACAAATACTGATACATACATGTGCAGCTATCATACCATAATTCAAATTAGTTACACGGTTATATACGCTAATCTTACATTTTCAAGGTAAAAATATCCGATGTCAATTTAATTTTTCAGTCCTGAAGTTCGGCTAGCACAAACCAACTTGTCAACGCAGTCTGTTTCCCTCGTTCTGCATCCTTCTCTAATTCCCTCCTCTCAGCACTGACAATGCCAACTAAGAACCATGCGTACTCCAGTCAAAATCCAGTACTTCACGTTTATGTTCCTGGAACGTATGCTTTCCTTCAATTAGCACAATTTTTTGTTCCATTAATTTCCTCTTCATTTCAACTGCTTTATTTCTCATAAAATACATGTAATTTCATTTGAACTGCCTAAGTTCTATGTTATTATTTTAACTAACCAACTTTTCCTTTCAATTTTTGGCTACACTGACATATTAATCACCATCTAGCAAATACAGGCAACTCTCAGTTTACGAACGAGTTCTGTTCCAAGATGTTCATTATATGAGCTTTTATGATACATATCGTATACCTTAGCAGCCATTTTAAAGCATTAAAACTGCGTACTAAACATCGAATGGTCTATACAATGTTTTATTACAATGTATGTATGCGTTATGGTTTATTGTATACGATATGTAACCATTACTATCAGCACCAGCATTGCTATTTTGCTTTGGACCCATGATTGCTTAAATTTTCAAAAATACATTTTTAAGTCACCAAATGCAGAACTACACTTGACCGTCTAAGATAACCTTGGCAAAGCAAGTGATGATCCTTTTATATTATAACGGGGAATCACCGATTTTTCTCACGAGAAAAATTCTATGCGGCGAGGCATGTAAACCAAAGTTTTTTTACTGGCTAGATTAGTTTTATCCCCACTTAATAGTACCTGCACCTTGTCGTGATGGTGGGGCTTGAGTATCTCAGTGACCCCAAGAGCTATGCTGGCGGTAGCATAGCTACTGGTAGGGCCTCCCTAGCCAGATTGGTCGAGGGGGAGAGGTCAGACTAAGACAGGTACCCTGGTCCTCCAGGTTGGGGGTTGGTCGCAAGGCTAACAACCTTGCACCGTAAAAAAGGAAGATGTTTCGAAACCTCAATCAAAGCCTCAGACAGACGGACCTAACAGAGGACCGAATGGAAGAGGAGAATTGAGAAGGCCATGGACTGAATAAAGACCGGAGAGCCATAGAAGAAGATTAGTTTTATTAACCAAGAACAGTTCAGTATAATTATCATATAATAATTTTCTGATAATTATTGTAATAAATACATTTTTTTAAAAGTTTATTTCTTTAAATCTTACAATTATGTTGACTATACGTTTGGCATTTCGTTTTATAAGGAACTATTGGTGACTTTAAGAAATTTAGTATGAATTGTGACGTTCGTTATAGCGAATGTTTGTAAACCGAGAGTTGCCTGTATAGTCTTAGCTTCCAATGTGTTTTTATTTTCAAGTCAGCCATTATTATTTAAAAATCCGTAAGTTGAGCCACATGCACTGCAGTTATTTAATTTAAATTTGCCATGTTTGATAATGCATAATGGCAATATAAATGAAAAACAAAATTCCAACATCACGTGAAGACGAGTGCATTTTCTTGGTGAAACAACTTGGAATATCAATAACAACTCTGAATACAATACGTAGTCAAAAACTGTCATGTTAGTGTAGAAAATGCAAATCATTAAGGGCATTCAGAGATAAAAAACCGAGTAAAATGACACATTAAGTAATTACATTAGTCAGCCTGTGCAAAAACATCTGTAGTGCCTGCATTCAGCAAATTACTTGCATTGTGATACTAAGTATTTTTAGTATCTTGAAATTACATGCCGTAAAAATGTACATACAGTGCTTAATAATTACCAATTAAAGGTTAAGTTTATGATTTTGCACTTCCCGCAATTTACAAAATTTTAAAATTCTGCTGTACATAAGCATAAAGGATTGAATACAGGTACTTAATCATAAATTGTGACTTGAAACTGGCATTGAAATTTTTCAAATTAAGTGGTTAAAGAGGACATGGTCTAGGCAAATATTTTTTAAAATATTTTATGGGAAGTAAGAACATCCAAAGAGATAAGCAGTATATTTCATTGCAGCGTGAAAAAATGTGTTTAGCAGACAGAATTCTTGTTCTCGCTTCGATTACCGGAATTTTTGGAATTCTTCGCCTCAGTTTCTTCTCAAACTGAAAAGTAATTCTTGCACATGCTTACTAAAATCACATAACAAAATTCACCCTTCTCTGCCGTGGTTCACATCTAGAACGTCTAGTAAATGTATACTTTGTACTGCATTCAGCACCTTTCATACATCTTTCCTTACCCCAATGAATGTATTCTAATAAATGTAATATGATTTATATATGAAAATGAGGAAATAGGAAGAATTATAAACATATAAGTTGAACAAAACATAGCCTCAGTTGAAGATTTCTGTCTTCTGGGTTGTTGCGCTGTGTAGTCTGGTCGATGTTAACCAACCTTTCAGAGGTCATACTGCCTCCGTCATCAGGGCGATGAATCGACCAGACTACACAGCGCAACAACCCGGAAGACAGAAATCTTCATATTCACCACTGTGAAAACCTCAAATCTTACATAGCCTCAGTTCTTTACCATTTTCAGCATATTTAACTGCCAAGAATAAATAATGGCACTGCTTTTGTTATAGGGGGAAAAAAAATCACAACAAATCTCTTGAAGAAAAGTTGCTGTATAATGTGTTGTATGTTGTACTCATTTAAAATTATACATGATTATTCTTACATTATGGTTTTCAAGTACTAGAAGCTTCTAACTATACAATCTGTTTTTCAAGCAACTGCAGACAAATCAAGGCTAGTAACACTCATATTCAATTGACTGAATTGTAGTGACATCACGTGAAAATTATACTAAGATATATGATAATTACACATACCACAATTAAATTCAGGAAACAGAGTTCTATTTCATGCTGTGCGTACCAATCCAGCATATGGTCATAGTTTACTATCTCACATTGTCTTCTTTCTGGGATTCATTGAATATAGTTGGCCTTAAATTCAGTCTTGAGTAATACGCTTTCTACAATACCCTGAGCAGATCAACGTCTGTCTCTGTAGCGACGATCTCTGTCTCTATCGCGATCACGTCTTTCTGTCGTTCTTCGCAGAAACTCCTCCACTGAACGGTCATACTGCAAACAACAAAATATCTGTCTGTAGTTCTACATATGGCAGCAGTCCCCACAAAAAAAACCCAAAAATGAACAACTATCATGAAACCTTCAAGATGCTGCCGGTCTCATTCAATGTCGAAATTGGAAAATGGCCGCAAAAAATAGATCTTCATGGAGGCAGAAAATTGAGGAGGCCAAGGCCTGATATGGGCTGTACAGCCAATGGAAACCTTCACTCAGAAGAGAGTACCTTCAAGTGTATTAAATGGAAAAGTGGCATCTTCCATTTTACTTGTGGAGATAAAAATATTTAAATCCCTCAGATGAATATGTTGTATAGTAAAAGTAAAGTAAAGTAAAGTTTGTCCCACTACGTGCCATACAGGCGCTTGGGGTGAGCGGAGGGATAGCTCCTCTCTTTCTTGTCCTCGGCACTAGATGGGGGTGAGTGGTCAGCATCACGCTCCGGCCGGCTTTACCCCCGGGAAAGGACCCCCAGGCACCACTGTAGAGGAGGCTGGGTGGGCCCCAGAGCCAGTCTGGACGCAGAGGCTAGAGGAAAAATCCTCTGCCCCCTTTGGGGATCGAACCCTGGTTGTCCAGCCTGTAGCTAGTCACTATACTGACTGAGCTATCCCGGCTCATATATTGTATAGTAGTGATGATAATACAGCCAAGGGACATTTTAATTAATGAGTTTCTTCAACTCAATGACTAGACGGTCTCTACTAAACTGTTACAGCTCTGACTAAGGAATGTTACAACCATTTACATCAATAAAGTAAATTTCGTAACTGACAAATGTTGGCCTTCAATATATGGTTACAGTTTATGTAATTCACTTTATCATTATGGACCCAGAAATCTTGTTCAAACACTTGGGATTTTACAAAATCATTTTATGTGCAAAGTTAGTTCTAAAAACATACGGCAAGAGAGAATGCAAAAAGCTTGCGCCATAATCAACGGCCCTTATCAGAAACGTTCACTTTTCTGTATTGTGGCATTGGCGTCGTGGATTGAACCACCATTGTGAAGACAGAAAGCAAGAGTGCTCATAGTTTGGCAATAACCACTGTATACAAGTGGAGTGTTAAAACGTTTCCACCCAAAATGCACTTATAAATTTTCAACCAAGTCACGAATACACAGCAGAAGTCTTCCTTAGGCAGAAGTTAATCTAAATAACAATTAAATTCAGTTCTTACCACTAGAAAACATCACAATTTACCATTACAATGACCAGCTGGTTAATGCTGTTTAAAGAGATAATCACTTTTTACAAGAGTTCCTGACTGTTGAAGAAGATGGCACATATAGTTACTGTTGAGATTTGAAGGATTATTTCTTTTCTACAGTGCAAATTCTATCACATACATACATAATGTTCTTTAAAGGTTTCTTCTCTTCATGAAATTTAACTTCTTCTTCTTCTTTTTTTTTTCTTCTTCTTCTTCTATGGCTCTCCAGTCCGTATTCGGTCCATGGCCTCCTCAATTCTCCTCTTCCATTCGGTCCTCTGTTAGGTCCGTCTGTCCGAGGCTTTGATTGAGGTTTCGAAACATCTTCCTTTTTACGGTGCAAGGTTGTTAGCCTTGGGACCAACCCCCAAACTGGAGGACCAGGGTACCTATCTTAGTCTGACCTCTCCCCCTAGGGAGGCCCTACCAGTAGCTAGTATGGATAGTATAATTCATCTACATACATAATGGGTGGATGTATTTGTAACATACCACTAATTATGTGAACTCTTTGTTTATAATATGTGAAATGTAATATGTATAATATATATTTTATTATTAAGACTTATTCCCCCTTCAGGGGCCCACAGCAGTGGGTATGAGGATTGGCACCCCTGAGGTACCTAAGCTGGGCCACCCTACCTCTGGGGGCTATAAATATTGAGGCTAATGACCCCATCCCAGAAGAAATTACTGTTACAGAAACTGAAGTGAAACAAATCCAGAGATCCATGCATGAACGTGCGCATGCGTAAATAATATTATTGTGATACATTTTGTAAAAATCTTTTGATTCCTTTCTGTGTTTTCAAACTGAAAAACGAAAAGCTTAAACACCACAGCATAGAAACACATAAAAAAATCAAGAACCAAATACTTACAGATCGTTTGTCAGAACGAGATGACCTTATTGTGGACGGATATTCAGGTAACGGTGGACCCTCATAGTACCGAGGTGGTGGTGGTAAAGGGTCCACAAATGGGGGCTAAAATTAATCAACAAAAACAATTAACAGCAACACAATTTATAAATTAAAGTTTCAATTACATTTTCATATACCCTATCCTAATTAACAGGCTTATATTAACAAGTTCCACTAATGTAGTAATATTTATATAATAAATAGTTTATCTTGGTATTCAAATGCCAAAAACAGATATTCTACCTAAGATTAATGCAATGTTTTGACACTATAATGATAAAATTAAACTTGGCAGAGAAATCGTGATGGAAAATAATTAAAAAATATGGACTGGTAGTGGGCTCATGTATGGTAATAAACTGTCAGGTTCCCGTTATAACTGTAAATTTCTTGACTAGTTGGCTTCTTGAGAGTGAGTCTGTTCCATGGAGTCCGTGAAATTTTTTTACAAAATTAAGAATGTTTTAAAATACAGGTTTACTTACAGGAGGTGGGTAAGGCATGGCTGTTAGAGGGGGGGCTCCTCGGGAATGCAACTCTCGCATGAAGTCTGTGTAGTTCTGAACCCCGTTGAAGGATCTGCTGTCACGGGGAAGTGGAAACCTGACTGGTGATCTTTCTCGTCTCCCTTCTTTGAATAAGTTTGCCATATACATTGTTGGACCTTGTAGAAACAATAATACTTTTATTTAAAAACGTTTCAACAAATATGAAAAGCATCACAGTTATACGTCTTTCCAAACTCAAATTCTTCTGCTACAGCTTGTAGTTAACTCAAGAGGTTTGTGAGGCCTTAGAGAATTATGATAAATTTTCGCTATATAAATACTTCTGTAAAGCATAATTAATTAAATTTAGGTCATCATATAATGAAATGCACAGCAATTCCTGTAACACTACTTCTAATTACCCTATAACTGAATTTATTGAGTAAGTTACCATGAAACAATGGAACCACACTAATTTTTTACAGAATTTATAATTACTCTTGTACCATAAAGTTTAATAAGAATTCCCAAGAAATACTTAATGTAATATCACAAAAGAATGTAGGGAGTCTGGAGGTACTGTTAAAATAAGAAAAATGTCATCAGCAGAAAAAGAATAGTTAACACATTTTCAGAACTCTTTGCAAGTGCTGCAAGAAGCCAGTAGATATAGCATTTCAAGTTGAAACGAACCACGAGCTCATACAGAACTATTTGTCAACTGATCTAATATCAGCCTATTGGTACAACTGTTATAACTGTAATCTCTCCTGAAGTTTGTCTAATGAAAACATGATTTGTGCCAGTATTGGTGTTTTGATCTATAACACTTCATTCCTATTACCCTTAGTTTTCAATATAAGTCCCCATTCAAAATTTATCAATGATCTGTGTGCTTATACCACACAAATACATTCCTTAATGCACAAGATTACTGGCCATACCAAAGGCTATATGATTAGATTATTCCATTCTTCATATAGTGTTAAATAATTCTGAACACCATGTTTACATTTTTGATGAAAATTTAAAATTGTGAACTAAAACATTAAAGTTCACTGAACTCCAGTAACCATAACCAAATGAAATGATCCACCCCCCTCCACATAAGAAAAATGATTTTTCATTAAATGAACACCTTACTGTACACTGCAATGCAAGTAAATGTGTACATTTCACCTATATTTCGGGGTGTACGTCAAATTTCGTCTTCTTTCAAAAAACCAAGAGAATACAGAATATACTCATATATAAATCCATAACTGAGCATGTATACAGACACGCACACACATGTAACTGAAATTGTAATATCTATTCTTTCTCACTTTTTTACAAAACTAAATATTCAGTATGAAATATGAGTAATTGGAAATCCATATAATAAAAGCTTAATTTTTCTCTCCAATTCTTCATACTGACAAAAATATGAATACCCAAATGATTTCAGCTTTCTATCACAAATCAAATGTTTCTCTTACATAATTAATAAACTGACAATGTTTTATTCAGATCAAAAAACATTAAGGAGTGATCATAAAGTTCTGTAATGTTCAGATCACACAAGAATAAATTCCTTGAACAATAAGCATCAATCTCCTGCACAATGTTAGAAATAAGAAGTACTGTTACTAAAATTCTAGTACATCTTAAGTGATACATTACTTCAGTAAAGATTTAATAGTACAGGATGTTAGTGAACTCAAAGGTACATCACATTCAAAAAAGCAAGCCACTGGATTGTATCCTAAACCACCACAACCCATTTTACATCTGTTCCCCCAAGATTCATTTTATCAGCTCCTTTCATATATATCTAATTCTCACAAATGTGCAATTTTCATAAACAAAAGTTAGAAAATGTATACACAGTGTAACAATTCTGGCACATTCACCAAAATCTGAACTTCTGCAAAAGACTCCAGAACTGTATTGGGCCAATGACCTTTGCAAGGGCAGGATGAATGGTGCCTGGATGACATCCCAGAATAATTCCCCCCCCCCCAATCGAACAGTTGGCTGTGGATTTCCAAATAAATAGGGATTATTCAGTTACTCCTGTGAACAGAACTAAATGTATGTCTTCATATAAAGCACCCACTATTACTGTCCGATTCTAAACAAATTTGGGGGGGAAAAAAAGAAATAAATTTAGTAAACCCCCAATATCAAATTTCATGAAAATCTGTTCAGTAGTTTCCAAGCTGTAACATGCAGACATAGTCAGACATGGTGAAGTTCATAAGCACTTTTTTCATATGGTCTAAAAATGTGTATTTGGATATATATACTTATAAATTTATAAAACAGAACTCTTCAAAAACTTTACTTACACAAACATTTCAAAGCCATTTCAGAGACAATGTCAAGTATTGCTGGTGAAAATATTATATTCCTATCCTGCTTTTATTTCAAGTGCTGAAAAGTGTCAAACTTAACTGAACGTATACCACATACCTCTACTCCTTTTCGGGCGAGGATCATACTCATCATCCATGTATCTGCGTCGCCTTCCCCTGCTGAGGTGATCAAAAAAAAAGTTAGTAAACATTTAAACACATAATAGTAGGGCCACATTCATCATCGCTCTGATTGTCTGACAAACATATTATACACAAACAGCATTCTAATTAACTGCCTGGCAAATACATACACGTGTCTGCACAACGAGGCTCCTTTATTAATTTGCTCAATCAAAACGCAGAGCATGCAAGAATCATACATAATCACAAAACATTTTGTGCCCAATATATATATACTGAAATCACAACAGTTAATAAATCATCTAGAAATCATCAGATTAATGAAACAATCATGAAATATTACTTATTTTGAAGTACTTGTCTAGACGAATGATAAACTTCATGAAAACTGGTTGGAATGAAGGACCACAAGTTACAATAAAAAGGACCCTCCAAATCTAGCACACTGATTTATACTGTGTTAATCCAATAAATGATGAGCAGCATTCTATTTGTTATAGAAACGTATTCTGAGAAAACAGCATATACCTTACCCAACAACTGACCCACAAGGTAGATGTATCACCCACATGATTTTCTTCCTTTATTGGTGTACATTTGCTGAGAACTGAATTCTTACATCATGAGGGATTAAAATGGAAATGGCATTTATTTTAACAAATTTTATGAAATAAAAAACTGAGTATTCTACCACAAGTGTTAAGTCCATTTCTCGCTACCAGTTATCTGACAATAAACATATTTGAATGCTTGAATGAAACAACACAGTTACACAAACATTGTCTGATTTATGCAACTATTTATTGGTGGAAACAGATTTCATATACACTATAAACAAAGATATTAATGCAAGTTAAGGCGTCAGCATTCCTTCGAGATGGTTCGATTGTAAATTTTATGAGACAGGAAAGTGTTTGCCTGAAAAGAAGTTGATGACATGAACAAATTTTAACTACAACTGTTTTAGTGTTAGTGGCATGTTAGGTACTCAAACAATAAATTAAATCAATTGCTAAACCTGCATGCTGAGGTGAGTTCATGGAATTTTAGTAAATAAACTTCATTGTAAACAATGTGGGAGGAATACAGTGCACAAAAATCTATTAATCTTTCAGTACAATGGTTGGGGAAAACATGGGCAAAAATAACTCAAAGAACAATAGAAACTTGTGATGAAAACAGTGGATATGAATCTCAAGAGAAACTTTATTACTGTTTTCATAACATATGAGGCACCAGAGCAACAAGACACTATTTCCTACATTTTTCTCTTGTACCAAAACTAAATAAAACTACACTGCAACTGAAGATAGGCCTTTTCACACCAATGTCATATAAAGTGAAGATTATGCAAATTCTACAACTTGGTTACTTAGCACAGAATAGGATAAGAGGATTATGTAGTCAGGAGGAAAGAATAAGAGAAAAAGGAATTACGTAGCAGTTACAAGAAACTGAAGAACATAATAAATTATCTCAGCCAAAGCTGGAACCATCTACCTAGTAAGTAAACACTACATGCATTACTACAGGCTGCCCTACTTAAAACCCACCATGACAGCATGCTGCAACAGCAAGCAAACTACTAGGAAATGAGTTAGTCTCGCTGCAGAACAGAGATGTATGCTAGTACTTGGGTTCCAATTTACACGAGGCTCTGCACTTCAGTTAACCTTCTTGTATACAAAGTGGGTGCACTAATCATGAACTCATTTCTTGACATACTTAATTTGGAGTTGTAATTAACAATAATTCATAGTCCCCCCTTCACCAAGACACTGAAGAAACAATTCGCTAAGTATGATAAAGTAGTGCAACGAACTCCAAGGCATGCGCAAGATATGGGACAAAGGTCTAATATGCCTCATGAACCTTATTGTACTAGCCTGCAATAAAATTCCCCTGATGTCACTACGATGTTCTAAACCCATTGTGTGGTGACCGGGAAGTACAATAAATTCCAGTATTTAAGAAAGTATAATACAACTAATAAGTGTAGTACCAAAACTTGCTCAGTCCATTGAACAGTTTTTGGAAAATAAATTTTAAAGCAGAATCCTGTAAATTAACAACTGCACTTGAAATGGAAAAATATTAAAATGGTCTCAGCAAGTTTTGGAACTGCAATATTCAATTCTTAACCCAGTTAAGTTCTCCCTTCCGTGTGCACATTGGTAGCCCACAAGATACCAAATGGATCTGCAAGGCTGAAAATGAGTGGTTTGAAATATGTTACTTAGAAAGTTAAACAAACTACAGAATTGGGTTAAAAATTAAGTTAAACTACAATTGCTGATTTGCAATGAATGGAAACTGAGAAAATATTATAAATGTAGTAGAAGTAGTAATAATAAAAACAACAAATTAAAAGATTTCTCCAAAGTATGTTGATCAAAAGTTGTAGACAGCTGACAAGAGATGGTCCTCTCGCTTGGTGGTTGGATTTCTATGTTTTGAGAATTCCTCACACAAATGTAATAGATTTATGTTATATCAGCTGCTGAAGGTACTTCATACCAAATAAAGTGAAAGTATGATTAGGCATGATAAAATGAAGGAGATGAGAGAGGAAGCAGTCACAGAACTTTCAAATTTGTCAGAAATGACAAAGGAAACATACATGTCAATGTAAAAACAAGCCTCAATGGTGGCTACTGCACAGTACTCAAGAACTATGATAGTTGCAGTGATTAAGTAAAACTTGGATTATTCAAATCATAAATGAAATGTATTAACTAAATGGTTTCTTTCCTGGGAATGGCTAAAAATCGGTGTTGATCAGAAATAAATCCTTACTTCTACAGCTGAACAATTCACCAAAAATGTGAAGAAGTTGAGAGGCTGTATTTTAGGAAAGATAAGGGAAGTGAAACATAGAGACAGATAGCTGCAGAAGAGAGGAAATATGACAGTGGGTGGTGATGGAGAGTAAATGAAAAAAAATATATATATATAAAAAGGTTGACAGAACAGGACATACAGAGGTAAGAAAAGCTCAGTGGATATAGACATGAATACAGATACAATTCACTAAAATTTTCAGTTAGCAGCACCAAAGCTAAACCGAAAACTATTAGAGACCTGCTCTGCCTCCACGAACAGGAAAAGAGCAGGTCTCCGAAAATGGACTGTCAATGCAAACCTTCGGGCTTCAATACCAAAGTAGTGAGTTTATTTGCCATGAAAGCTTAAAATGTTACCCAATATATAATGCATTCTGTAACAAATAACTAAATACATTTCAATGCATGAGAACAGCCTTGGTTGAAAGCTCAAATTTAGTAGGAAACATTTACCGATAAAAAATGTAATACCCTTTCAGTTCTAACTATCTATCTTTGTCCTTTCATTTAAATTGTCACATTTGCAAGTTGTTAATTTAAAGTTAAAAGTTTTGTTTAAAGACACAAACACATATTTAAGTTTATTACTCTACATGCAAACACAGCTAAGCATCTAGAGATGCACACACGTTTGTCTTAATATAGAGTTATCACACGGCTGTTATTTCAACAGAAAACTTAAATCCACAATTACATATGGGAGCTTACAGTAACAAGGAAATTAATTATAAATTCTGCCTAAAGACATCTAAGTACTTATCTGTGGTCAATTCGGATGGAATCTGCAATTGGGGAAACAATTGGTTTCTCTGTATGCCAGGCACTAACGAAAACACGCTTTGCACAACCTTAGCACCAAATTAATAGAATACCTCACTTTCAAATGCACAATGCACAACAAAATAAATTAATGAGATTTCAGTTTTTCATGGCAATAAGAATGATTATGGTCTTCTGGATTATGACAACACTACAGAGGAACATACAGCTTCCTCTTCTACAACAAAGATGGAGGCAATATGTCCCCCCCCCCAACATAATGGGAACCACCTACAAGACTACATGGTTTCATAACCCAGAAGTCCAAAATTATAACTGAACTGTCTAGCAGTACAACTCTGAAGGTTAAAAACACTGTCCAACATTCAACTTTCAAGTTTCTGTACATGAAAAAGTATTGATGACCATCAGTGTGGATTCTGATGCAATAGTTAATTACTGATCAAATATTCTGGATTATCAGATACCAAGGTGAAAGACAAGAGTACAAGGTGACAGTACATCAGTTATTCACAGACTTGAAAACAACAAACCTTTAGTATCCACAAATGGCAGGGAAAATCATGAATAGCAGTGACAACCTCTTAAGAATTCTTCTCCTGAGACATACATACTGCAAGGGTATCTTCCTGATTTCCCAAAGTTCAGTGCCTGATCTAGATTCATCACTATCACATGTAGAGACCCCACTTAATGGTACCTGCACCTTGTCTTGGTGGTGGGGCTTGAGTACCTCAGTGATCCCAAGAGCTATGCTGGCGGTAGCATAGCTACTGGTAGGGCCTCCCTAGCCAGATTGGTCGAGGGGGAGAGGTCAGACTAAGACAGGTACCCTGGTCCTCCAGGTTGGGGGTTGGTCGCAAGGCTAACAACCTTGCACCATAAAAAGGAAGATGTTTCGAAACCTCAATCGAAGCCTCGGACAGACGGACCTAACAGAGGACCGAATGGAAGAGGAGAATTGAGGAGGCCATGGACTGAATACAGACCGGAGAGCCATAGAAGAAGATTATGTAGTGAATTATGCTATGCAGCTATGATACTCAAAGGTATCATCATCAGTTCAAACAGTATACAGGAAGCACACTAGTGACCCTTATCAAAGTACAGATATATATAATTTTAAAAAAATAATGAGTCCATTGAATAATCATACTTACATTAAAATTATATCATATACAACAGAACATGCTAGAAATGTCTACCCTGTTATCAACTGTACAATGACAAATAAAAGAGTTGTCTCAACAGTAATGAAAACATTACAGGAACACTACATTGGACATTATGCATTGTCTGTGGAATGTTTGATATAATGGTGTTTCATTAAATGGCTCTACTCCTGTTTTCAAATGGATGGTTGTCATCACACAAGACAGATTTGTTCATTTCTTATTCTTGAATTATTCTTCG